ATATATATATATATAAATTTTGATCTATACAGATATAATTTTAGTGATTGTGGATGTTTCCTGTGCATATTTAGACATCACTAATTTAGCAGGAGTTGTACCTTAGAAACCAAAAACAACCCACCAATGAAGCACAAGCAGTCATGTTTTCATGAATAAGGAGGACCCTCTGATAGAAGTTTGTGTTGCCCTTATGAACAATTTATTTTCCTCTTCAGATGCTAGCTGCCTCTCCTCCACCATACTCTGTAGTGTGACTAAATCTCAGACGTTTAACAAGGTTAGTAGTGCTGGCATAGTACCTCTCAGCCCACTCTCACAGTTTGCACGCAGCTTTGTTGCTAAGTCTAACAATTAAAATAGTTCCACTGCAGTATGTTTACTGTCAGCTGTTGTCTCTGTTAGGTCATGTCTCAGTGCCTCTTGCACCCATTAGGCTTTCATTTTCTTTTGGAAGGAGAGGAACATTATCGCCTAAAGGTACAGCGTATATTACTGAGAGAAGATTTTTTTATTTTATGTCCCAGTTTTATATTTTACTTCCATTTTTTGATAGGATGTGGATTTTTCCAATGTCCATTTTAGATAATAAAGGTTTAATGTGTCTATTATCTTAGAGTTTATAAGAACATTAAAATCTTGGGCCTACAACACCCAAATGGCTTTAATGTCTTGTATTTCTTTTGCTGTTTTTTTTATTAAAAAATAAAATAGAAGTTTTTCTTTATGCTATAATAAGCTTATTTTATTATTATTATTTTTAGTCTGCATGCAAAAAAAGTACCAACGCAGACTGAGTTTAAATTGTAGCGTAAAGAGAACTCTGTGTGTGTCCCCGATTTTCGCGCTTAAGTAAAACTTGTTTTATAGTTACTGCTGTGCTTCCACAGTATGCATACAAAGTTACTTTATTACAGCTGGTACCTGATGCAGCTTGGTGTCCTTTTGGCCCGTCATGCTCCTCCATGTTTTTAGAAACTGTCACCTGTAGCAAGGGCTGCCACATCTGCAAACTGGAAAAACATAAAGCGTCCGTCTTTCTCTGCAGACATTCTTATAAACCATCAGAGCTTGACCATAGAGATGACAGAGTTGGCACACAACTTAGAAGGGAATATTTTTTACCGAAGCTGAAAAAATATAAAGCGTCTGGTGGAAAACCTTTGAAAAAAACTCAGTGGCTGATTCATAGTTCCTTTAGATGACCAGTTTTGGTGTTGTGTTTTTCGGTTTTGGCATTTATTGCTTTCAAAAGCGACCTGCTTTTATGTCACAATCTGTATTTCCTCACTGAAAGCATCAAAAGTAACTCTAAAATCTTAAATCGGGTAAGAAATTGTTCTTTTATTTTATTTTTTAAAAAGCCAAAATCAGTTTCTTTGTTCACATTACTTTCATAATGTGGAATTAATGGAACTGTTAGCTTTTGAAGTTTTAACCTCAACTTTCAGATGTTTTG